CCCCTTTTTATTAAATATAAAGTTGTAAAAACTTGAACAGAAAATGTGTTTGGTTTTAGAAACGGGACATTTAGGCGTCCCGAGAGACTTTTTCGGGACACCGGGTACGATTGTGAAAAAACGGGACAATCCCGTTTTACGGGACATTTGGTCACCCTACCCCGAGGTCAAATTCCAAGACCGCGTTGGGCGCTAAACATGGTTTGGTAATAGCGTGGCCTACAATGTCACAAAGTGATTAAAGATTTCACAGTGTTTCAATGTAAATTACCATAACAGAAGCACTGGCAGATCAAGGATTTGTCAAAATCAAAGGGGTTAGAAGCTGATGTCTGCATTTCGTGCTATCACGCATGGACTACTGCAAAGCTCTTATGGTGGGTCTTCCAGCTACGCTCCTAGATAAAATTCAAAAGGCACAGAATAATGCGGCTCGCACTGTTTTTCGAAAACGCAAATACGACCAAGCTAAAACACTTCTGAGAGAGCTGCATTGGCTGCCGGTCCGCGCTCGCATGGAGTACAAAATTGCAACTCTGTGCTACCGCTGCTTGCATGACCTGGCACCGTCCTATCTCAAAGCGCTACTTACGCCTTATGTACCCACTAGACAACTCCGCTCATCTGATAGTGGGAAAACTCTCGATACCACGTGTTCGCCTTGAGACTTACGAGTGGTGTACTTTAACATTTGCTGGCCTAACAATTTGGAACACTCTTCCTGTAGCTCTCAGAAACAGCCAGTCACTTGAGTCTTCTTCTTCTTCTATATCTTAAGGGCCCACGATCAATTTATTGATCGATTGGGCTCCTATACATGTTGATGGGATTTGCAATGTTTCTGTTACTGGTGTTGATGAGGAAATCATGCACAAGGGGTTTGAAGGCTGGAGGCAATAGACACAAATGTGTCTAGTGTTGTCGCCTCAACCGTTCCTTTTGAAAGATTGTTCCAGTCCCTGATTGTCTTGGGCAGGAATGGGCAGCTCCTATACAGGCTTCTTGCTGGTAGGAGCCTGAATTGCCTGTCATGGCCTTGTCGCTGTCTATGGGGGAGAGGGACGAGTTTCTGTTTAATACTGGAACAGTGGACCAGCCCATTATTTATCTTGTACATCATGGAGAGCCTGGATTGTCGTCGTCGTTTCTCCAATGGTGACCAGCCTA